AAAATAAAGGCAGCAAAGGGAGGCAACTCTGAAGTGCTATCCAAAAGGCGTGCCGGTACAAATACTATTGCCATTGAACATATATGATGCGATATGCGAGCCACAACCTACACTAAAACTTTAAACATTGTGTCCCATATAACTATCACTTAATCAATGTGATATTACAAAATACAAAAACACACTCTCATAACACGAGTATCACTGTGAGTTGGTTTCTGAAATGTTAATGGAAGTTATAGGCACTGGAATGGTAAATACATGCATGGCCATTTTAATATGTAGAGAATCTCTATGTGCCTTCTCATATCAAATATATTAACACGAGTTGATTAATGTTTACTTTAACCAACGAGTGTTGATATATTTGATATCAGAAGACAGGAGGGTGAGATTTTTTCTATCATCCAAAATCATTCTTCATCAGTTATCAGTAAAAGAATGAATTTATCTGAACACATAACTGCCATTAGGCTTCTTGAACAGAGATCTCAGTGGGGGTCATAGCACTGTGACGTCATCAACTTTATGACATCATAGCATTGTGATGTCATCAACTTTGACGTCATAGCATGGTCAGCTGTGTTCTTCGTGATGTCAAAGCAGCGTGAGGTCATTAACTCATGATATAATAATTTTATGACTGTTCAATTGTTGCGATATCTATAATGTAGATATCATTTGATCTCACACAAGCGAGATCTATTGTGGGAGTCAGTTTTGGATGATAAAGTAGATTACAACATGACTCATTTCGTCTACTCGTTCTTCTTTCTTCCCACAGAGGTTACTTGTAACCTCTGTCGGATATGACAAGTAACCTCTGTCGGAAGAGAATGCTCGTTGTTAAAATTCCAGATATATTCTCAGTCGTCCAGTTTTAGTTTTATTTCTGAAATGCATGTCAATTGGTTAAAGTTTTCCACGACACTGCAAACGTACGGTTTATAACAGACGGGATGCGGCTTGACCGAAGTGGACACATTCCCAGCTTGAGTGAACGTGTTTAGTGCATGTGTTTAGCAGCGGATGTTCACAAAATGTAGACACTTTTGAACATTTGTATCTCCAACACAAACACCCATTGATGTCAGTTCCATTAACTAGATGCGGTGAAATGCCGTTGTGTCGAACTTTGATGTGTTCAGTTACGGTTGCCTCGAAGCATATGTTAAGTCCCTTTGTATTGTAGTATTGTTTCGTATATAGTAAACTACTGCTCTATCGAACTAAGAAAGACCACTTATTTAGTCCGTTGCAACCGTAGTTCGTTATAAGCACTTCACCAATATATACAGTAAATGACTTGTTTGAGTGAGTGAGTGAGTCTGGTTTTACGCCGCTTTTAGCAATATTCCAGCAACATCACGGCGGGGGACACCAGAAATGGGCTTCACACAATGTACCCATGTGGGGATTCGAACCCGGGTCTTCGGCGTGAGACTTGTTTGAGAGGCATTTTAGAAGTTGTAAGGATGAAGGAAGTTCTATGGATAGTCAACTTGTTTTATTCCAATGACTGCGACGTTTCGATGAAGGTATTAACACCGTTATCAAACGTCGCATTCATTACAATAAAGACGTTGACTATCGATAGAACTTTGCCTTCATACAGTAGGTGAGGTGAAATTGGGTTTAACGTCGTACTTAAAAATATTTCGCTCATATGACGACGTGCATGCGTGTGTATGTGTATGTGCGGCTGCTTGTACTAGCCCAGACTTAAGCTTGTTTTATAGTGCTAGCCCACTGAGATACCATGCCGCAGTGAAGCATGAATACCCAACTCAGACACAGTATACTGACTCCGAACCGACCAGTCCTTATTGTACCCATAAATGCCGAGCGCCAGACAGGGACCAACAAGTACCACATTTTAACGTCTTTTGGTATGACGCGGCCGGGGATCGAACCCGCGACCTTCCGCTCTCCGGGCGGACGCTCTAACCACTACACCACGGAGGTGGTCTTCATACAGTAAATGGACGTGGCCAACAGCACCTCGATATATCCGTCAGTTTGTTAAAAGCATCTTCGTTATTAACGTAGTTTATTGTAATTTCCGGGTTTGTCGAACGTCGAAGTATTTATGTAGGTCCCTTCAACTACACACCGTCGATCAAATGTATAATTTTGAATGTACTCCGGACGCAGACTTGGTGAAAGATCTTTGTCAGTCGTTTCTTCTTCTCTGAAAACCCACTTCCTCTTTTCATCAGAATATAAATGTATTTTTTGTTGTTATCCTTGCGGACTGCAGACCCGTCAGTTAAATACTGTACAGAACACAGTACGTTGTGTCCATTGTACATATCGTGAAAAACCTGCAGGTTACACATCATACTGCCCGTTTCAGGTGCCACAGAAGGCAGGTAATTTTGCATCATCAGCAACCAAACCAATGCTTTGGTATATATAATACCGAGGGAAACAAAAAAGGAACACCACTATTCAAAGCTGCCGATGCAAACAAGAAAATATTAAAGGAACACTTGAAGTTTCCTGTGTTCCTTTATTTGTTTCTGTCAGTATATATCATTCACTTAACATGAGAACAAAATACAGTATATCTCAAACAAATCCTCCACACATCAACCAAGTCAGCGAGCCTGAACACCCGATCCCGTAGATCACCACTTACCACAAGCATGGGTTACTGAAGACCAATTTTTACCCGGATCTATATATGTCCTAGTCCAGCTCACCTTCCAGCAGAACTTCATTTCCCTTACTGTAATGTAAATATCCCTAAAAGAAGCAGCCGTAGATTTTTATAAAGTTCTGAATATTTCATCTTATTTGGTCTCCTCTTCAACAATGTGCGAAGCCCATTTCTGGTGTCCTTCTCCGTGATAGTGCTGGAATAATGCTAAACGCAGCGTAAATTCCAACTCACTCACTCCTTTTCATTATCAACGTTAATATATTATTTATATTGTCAGATACCAAGCATTAGTCTGGATGTTTTCTTGCACCACACAATCATTGCAGGTGTTCCCAAGACGTTCTCACTTCTCACCAACTTCATCAATGTCCTTTTGCAGTATAGCGGCTCGGTATTTGTTTTGGATTTGTGGTAGGTCCACAGAGACATGGAAAGAGCATTGGCAATTTATGGAAAGTCAATCTAGAGTGCGTTTTATCAAGAGCGTGACGAGAGATGTGTTGACAGTCCATTGTTTTCATCAAATGTTGTTTGTAAGACTTTAGCTCCAGGTATTTCGTTACGGTAATGAGCTAGACACCTTTGTTACGAATGTACTCCGTTGACCGGTTTTGAAAGATTGTTGCTTTGTTTTCTTTCTATTTCCTGGGAACAGATGACGTCAGTATAATGAAACATTTATAGGGACAACATCGGAGTTGCGTGGAATGGGACGTATATGGCACTCGTACTTTTAAAGAATCCTTACCAGAGGTTTTAGTCCGTTTTAGCTCTTTTATACAATCTTGAATTTACAGCCATGGTTTTTGTGGAATCCGGAAACTCAGGTGTAAAATTTGAGTAATAATTCAATGTGCCGTCTCTACCGTATGTCCGTGTTAGTATTTGTATTCAGCAACCCATGGGTGTCTTCAGAGGCGGTGGTCAGGTGGTCAGACATACTGACTTGGTTGACACATGTGATAGGGTCCAAGTTGTGTAGATCGATTCTGAAGGTGAAAATCATTGGGTTGTCTGGTCTGGACAAGGTTATTTACAGACTAGAATATGATGATGAAATGTTTTTTGACACTTTTTGAGGATGAATTTCCAAAACGTGTTCAAAACTTGCTTTCAACATCACGGCATGGGAAATCAGAAATCACCTTTAAACATTGTACCCATGTGGGCTTCGCGTGCTAGTGCTGCTAGGCTACTGGGGCGGTGGGGGTAGCCCAGTGGTTAAAGTGTCCGCTCATCACGCTGTAGACCCAGGTTCGATTTCCCACTTTGGTACAATGTGTGAAGCCCATTTCTGGTGTCCCCTGCCGTGATATTGCTGGATTATTGCTAAAAGCAGCATGAAACCATACTCACTCACTCACTCACTCACTAGGTTACCCACCACTCAAGTGCATTTCGAACATACAGGGACAGTAAACATGGTTCACATATTGTACTATACTGAAAGTCGCTGTAATATATTGCCTCGAAGGATATGATTTAGACAAGTCTTGCTGCTGATGCTTGTGTTCTCACGGGGAGCATTCAGTGCCCACTTTCTTTAATTTTAATAACCTTAATTTAAATTGAATTGTTTTTTTGTTACCTTTCTAAACAGATAATTCTTAACATAGGTTCTCATCAGCTCATGCAGTCTTGCAACTGGGATAATGTCTTTGCAAAGTTCAGTTTGAGGTGTTCGGACAGAACTGAATTGAAGTGGAAGCATTCTGATAGGAAAACTGGCTATAACACCGCCCGGTTGCATTTCGAAAATACAGTGTTGGCGATCTATAGCCCGTATTTTATATTGTATTGTCTTCTTTAGTTAAAATGTTTTAGTTTTACATGCTAGTTTTATATTCATATCTGTGATACTCTGTGTCCATCTTCGATAGGTTTTACTCTTCAAAATGTTTTAAGTTTTTTGTTAAATTGTTATGACTGAGATATTGCCGGTGTGACGTTAAATATTAACTCACTCATTCACTCGAAAATACAGATATCGGTAAATAAAAGCAAACATTCGTTGACATTCAACTGATTTTTGATATAAGTTTGTCTTTAAGGATTTTGCTTTTGACAGGTGTTCCTATTGACACATTACATGAAGATGAATTGATATTGAGGCATAAATATATAACTGACTTGCACCAACACATGTCACAACCCAAGGGTCCCATGGAGTAGAACCAGGCAATAATAACACTCATCAACATGACCGGACCTCGCGAACTATACGTCTGAATATAAAGGCGGTGAGTCCACAATTCATCTGACGCCACGAATACGTGGACATCAATAATACAGCACTCGTGGAAGCCTGGGTCTTGGTCTGGAGTTAACGGTAACGCAGTTGAAGACCTCGAGGGACATCTACACATAAGCTGTTGTCGTCATCGTTGAGGCGACTACCCATTGGAGGTTGTAGAGAGAATAATATCCCAACATCTTCCAAAACACATTTCTTGCATTCATACTGTGCAGGCGTTGTGTGACAGAGATGGGCATGCCATTACTTGAGCTTCTGTGTCATGCCCAAATAGTCGTGGCATTAGTTAAGGTCGTCGTAGCGTCTCTGTGTGAACCAACGGAGCTGGTATTTACACCTCTGTCTGACTACGTTGATAAGAAGCCGACCACAGGCATCAAGGCCCAGAAACAGGTGGCCAACCGTTTGATGTGTCTCTACGCCTGTTTCGGCGTCAACTACACACGTTCTGTTTTCTACACTGAATCCACAAGCAACTGTTACTGCTGCAACGAACCTCCATTGTCCCTGAATCTAGAGATTGGAGCAGGGACTACATGTCTGCAAAACGCCGGTGAGTGGACTTCAAACGATCATTTGTGTCAGTTTCGTAGATGTATTTGTCTTAAAAGGAAAAAGAAATACGGTTGACAATTACTGAGAAATATAAGTAAACTAAAAGTATAAGAAATAAACGAACAAATAAACACAATCAAAACAAACAAACATAAAAAAGAACAAAAAAACCACAGGTTTTATTCAAACGAAATCCTTTTGCGGGAAGTATTTCCTTGAGTGCCATCCGTTAACACAAAAAAGTGTCATATTTTTCATTAATTTGTTTCCCGAAACTGTTGTGAATGGAATCACGTTTCCTGATAAAATGAAAGAGGTTTTGAAGGTGATAACTAATAAGATTCTACATCATTTAATGAAAGTAATCATTCATTTTCAGGTTATGTTGAAACCTGGATGACGACGGTGATTGATGTGTCGTCGCAATTCCTTAACACTGATCCGTATGTAAATACTTATGTGTTTCCGCTCCAAAATACCATGTATAGAACACTCATGGACGCTTTTTAAACAGCAGACCCGTGAAGATCCGGGTTAGAATTGATCTTCAGTAACCCATGCCTGTCGTAAGAGGCGACTAACGGGATGGGGTGGTCAGACTCGCTGACTTGGTTGACACATATCTTAGTAACCCAGTTGCGTAGATCGATGCTCATGCTGTTGATCACTGGATTGTCTGGTCCAGACTCAATTATTTAGAGACCGCCGCCATATAGCTGGAATATTGCTGAGTGCGGCGTCAAAGAACAACCAAACCCTCTTAAACAGCAACAGCATAAAGAGACGTTCAACATGACACTGCCCTGACTGATTACTTATTGAAAAACACAAGCACTTGTTCAGTGTCGATCAAATACTTTCCAATACTTTTCTAAACATATCCAGAAAATCTGCAGTTATGTGGCAGAGTCTAAGAAAGATCTTTATAACGTAAATGACGCGGTCGTTTCAGACGGTTCCTAGCAACACAGATGCTTGGGCCTTCTGATGTCTACCCAAATTATGGCGATATACAGGGGACATGGTGTGCCAATTTCATTGATGATAAACAGTGGATAGCGGTGAGAATTTGATTTCAGTTTCTCACAAAAATTTCTCAATTTTCTTACGTCTTCTCTGGATCCGTGTTTGACAAAGACATGCTGTCTTCCCTCTCTTTGGATTCGCATTCTTCTTCACCTCTGATACATCCAGTCAATGTTTTTTCCGTCTGGGTTCTCTCAAAACATTGACCAACTTTCCTTTCACTGGATTCTCTAAAAACATTGACCAACTTTGCCTCTATCTGAATTCTCGTTTAAATTTGACCAATTTTCCTCTCTCTGGATTCTTGCATAGCATTGACCAACTTTGCCTCTATCTTGATTCTCGATTCACGTATAACATTGACCAACTTTCCTTTCACTAGATTCTCGTATAACATTGACCAACTTTACTCTCTCTTGATTCTCGTACAACATTGACCAACTTTCCTCTGTCTGGATTCCCGTATAACATTGACCAAGTTTGCCTTTATCTGAATTCTCGTAATACTAACCTACTGTCAATCCTCTTTGGTCTATACCATGTATGACACCGACAATAAAATGATCACACGTTGTTAAACCAAATGACATGACTCAATTACATTGTAAGAGGGGGCGGTGGGGTAGCCTAGTGGTTAAAGCGTTGGCTCATCACGCCGAAGACCCGGGTTCGAATCCTCACATGGGTACAATGTGTGAAGCCCATTTCTGTTGTCCCCCGCCGTGATGTTGCTGGAATATTGCTAAAAGCGGCGTAAAACCAAAACTCAGTCAGTCAGTAAGACGTTTACTTTTGTAAGACCTTCTTGATGTAGAGGTGTTAAGGAATGCTTGTAAAGACGCCTTGGCGACCCCCATCCCCACTCTGGTCCGTGTACTGACAGTATCCTATTTCTCATCCAGGTGGGCATCTCGGAACCAATGTTCGTAGATCAAGTGTACATTTACGAAACCTTTCATGCTGGCGGCCTTCAGAACCTGTCTGTGCGAGATACGTCCAACACATGGCACCTGGTCTGGGCAACACCACAGATTACGGACATCCCACAAAGCAGGATCTTTGCGCCAGAGTTCCAGGTTAAAACTATTTAAATGACTTAAAATAAAAGACAGATATTCATAAAACCACCACTGCTATCTAACCTGTAATGATCCGGTTTAGACTTGGTCTTCTTTCTTCCATGGCTTGTCGTAAGAGGCGACTGACGGGATCGGGTGGTTAGACTCGCTGTCTGTGTTGACACATGCCATCGTATCCAAATATTGCCTAGCTCGATGCTTATGCTTTTGATCACTAGATTGTCTGGTCGAAAACCACTGCAGTCTTAACGCATAACACTTTATGTAGAGTATATGTAGTATACATTATTCATTCATGATACGTAAATGTAATCCAGTTATTTGTTCCGGGCGGTATGAAGAAGAGAGCCCTGGAATAAACTTTTGAAATTTTGACATAAAATCTTCGGGTTTGAACACCATAATAAGTAAACACCTCTATAATCGTAATAATAACCTTATGTACAGAAGTAGTATTAGATTTGTCATATTCCCGATATGTCACAAGTGTATTCCTCTATTGACGTTACAGTTCAAAATTAGAATGATATGGTTAAAGAATATTCTTTGTATATTTCAGTCACCTTCATTCAAAGTGACTGGGTTCCGTCTTCATGTAGACATGACTGTGGCTAGTGGCTGGGTGCAGCTGGATGCGATGCTGGCAGTGGGTCGGAAATAAGGCACACTGAGAGACCCTAGTGCAACCGCAGAAACATGGAATCGATATTGTTTGCAACAACCCCAAATGATGACAAAATGCATCAGTAAACAAACCTTGCAAACAAACCCAAACCGACCGTGCAGTTTTTGAATGCTGATATTACTTGAAACAAAACACTTTTAGCAGGTTGTCACCGTCCAGGTATCGCACTGAAACATTTCCCTGTTGAGAAAATAGGGAACGTTGCATGGATTATCAAGACAAATGCAGGTCTTTGCATTCAGCGAGGTTACATCAAGGTTCTCTCTCTGAGGTAGTCCATCGACGCTGAAGGTTATGTAAAATGCTGTTACAATCGATAATTGAACAATGTACATTTGTTTACGTACGTTACTTGACCTTCTGTTTGTCTTTTTTGTATCCCTGCACATGTAACTGAAGCTTCAGATCTTCTTTAAGAATAAACGTTTTCAATTGAACAGCACGTTTACGTAATGTATACATCTGGGAACAAGAATTGCAACATCAAAATATACTGAGTCAAAAAAGAAACTTCACATTCTTTCTTCAGGGCACTATAAAAGAACAAGAGATGGTAAGATGGTTAAATTGTTATTATTTCATTGCTGAGATCTGTGTGATGTACTCGATACACTGACAGTACCATAATCAGTTCCATTAGGCTACACCGCCGTTCCAAAACATGGGTATACAGAATGTCAAGTCACAAGAATAAAAATGAGAAATTTCTCAGTTCAATATCGTGTATGGCCGGCCCGCGCATTCACCACTGCCAAAAACCGTCTCCTCATCGACTGCCTGATGCTTGTGAACACGTGGTTGGGGATTCTGCGCCATTGCTCTTGCACGGCAGCGCCAAGTTCCTGCAAATTCTGAGGTTGGTTCCTAAGACCACGAAGCCTTCTCCCAAGTGCATCCCAAACGTGCTCTATTGGATTAAGGTCAGGGGACCTCGATGGCCAGTCCATGACGTTGATTCCAGCGTTTTGAAGGAAATTTCGTGTCAACATCGCGGTATGCGGCCGAGCATTATCACGCTGGAAATGTAGACCTGGGCCATGAGCCGCCATGAAAGGAACGAGTTCAGGGGGGAGAATCTGGTCGCGGTAAGCAGCAGCTGTGAGGTTTCCACGGATGACCAGAACTCGGGAACAGTTGTTCCCACAGAAAGCACCCCACACCATGCAACTTCCGCCCCCGAATCTGTCGACTTCCTGTACACAACATTGGGCATACCGTTCACGACGTCGTCTCCAGACTCTATGCCTGCCGTCCGCGAATCTTAGAGTAAACCTGGATTCATCGCTAAAGACGACTCGATTCCAGTCTCTCTGGGTCCATCGGAGGTGACGTTGGGCCCACAGCAGACCTTGACGTTGATGAAACGGCGTCAATATTGGCCCACGATATAGACGTCCAGAATGGAGATTGGCAGCCCGCAACCGATTTCGAATGGTCTGTGAGGACAGTCGACCTCTAAACATCTCAGCCCTGGTTCGTGTAGCTGGCAGAAATCTGTCACGTAGGTGACGTACGACGATTTGACGGTCTTCTGCTCGTGACGTCACACGTGGACGACCCGACCTTGGGCGATCAGAAGTGGTGCCAGTTTGTTGTAGGCGACCTCGCAAGTCATACACAGTACGATGGCTGCATCCCATTGCTCTTGCGACGTCAATAACTGATCTTCCCGCTTGCAACATGCCAACGGCACGTTCACGTTGCACATTTGACAATCGTGGCATTTCAAGTACCGTTAGAACTGTGGTTTAAAAGTGTTTTTTCAATTCTTGAGGCCAATGCAAACACATGCATATGAAGAAAACTTCGATGCGAAGATCACATGATCGACTGCACGTGCAAAACCTGATTTGGCACTAACGTCATTTGCACGAGGAATGGATGGGTTTGAGTGGGTTTTGCTAACGAAAGATAGGGATCCCATTTCGGATACATAGATGTATCATCAGAGAAAAATTATTCATTATTTTTTAAATTACATTTTGTGAAGTTTCTGTTTTGACTCAGTATAGTTTCCAGGTGACAAGTGAACTGTCCATCTGAGAGAGTTGGTGACATGGAGGCCTTACCATCTCCCGATTCTGCAGCACCGAAACACACGTGAGTGAGTGAGTCATCGAGTCATCGAGTGAGTGAGTGAGTGAGTGAGTGATTTTAGTTTTACGCCGCACTCAGCAATATTCCAGCTATATGGCGGCAGTCTGTAAATAATCGAGTCTGGGCCAGACATTCCAGTGATCAAAAGCATGAGCATCGATCTACGCAAATGGGATACGATGACATGTGTCAACCAAGTCAGCGAGCCTGACCTCCCGATCCCGTCTCTTACGACAAGCATGGGTTACTGAAGATCAGTAATCTAACCCGGACCTTCACGGGTCTAAGTGAGTGAGTGAGTGAGTGTAGTTTTACGGCACAAAGTACACTTGCCTCTTTGTTGTGAAATGGGCTTCGGCTGAATGGTCTTTAACCACTAGGCTATCACACCGCCCTTCGAAACACACGAACTTGCTTCGCGTGTTAGAAAAGAGACACGTGTATTTTGTTCACTCAGAATCTGGTATATAGTCATTTTCCAAATCTGACGTGCGTTTCTGTGCGCAAACCAGAGCAAATAGGCCATCCACCCAAAGAGATGGCAGATAATTTGAATGAGAAACGTTTGTGTCACTACGCCAAATTGTTGCCCAAATTGGTCACCGATCAACCTTAATTTGAGTGAATGAGTGATTTTAATTTTATGCTGCTCACAGCAATATTCCAGCATTATTACGACGGCGGACAACAGAACTGGGCTTCATTGTACCATGTGGAAAATCGAACCCAGGTCTTCGGCATGAAGAGCGAACGCTTTAAGCGCTAGGCAGCCCCACAACCGTCTCTTAAACTCTTAAAATACAACAGCAAAACAAAACAACAAAACAAAGAAAAAAAACCCAAAAGACAAACGAACAAAAAGAAGAAGAAAAAACCAACGAAACAAAACAAAAACAGAATAAAACAAAAGAAACAAAAGAAACGCACAGGCCATTAATAAGGAAATATATTAAACGTATTAAAGTGTATGTACGTCGATGAACATATGGGTTGTTGCCATTGTCAGCATTAATTCAGTTCACTCAAAGGAATGCACAGGTCGTCGGATTTTTGCATGGGGAATTCTTTGCCATTCCTCCTGCAACGCGTAACTGCAAGTTTCTGCATTTTTTCTGCCACATTTGAAATCCAATTTTGAAATGACTTTAATGACATATCGGGTCACTGAATTGTCACAATTGTGTTGTCATATTTGTCATATAAAGAAGAAATCATTATTTACATGTTTTGTAGCTTGAGGAGGGCATACGCATATTTGATAGAGGAGAAATCATTTGATACATATAAGGTAGCTTGAGTTAAGGAGGGCTTACGTATATTTGATAAAGTGATATATAGGAGAAATCATTTGCTACGTGTATGGTAGCTTGGGTTAAAGGAGGGAATACATACATTTGATAACCTCTTGGTATAAAGGCGAACTCTTTTGATAGATGTAAGGTAGCTTGAGTTAAAGGAAGGCATACATACATTTGATAACCTCTTGGTATAAAGGCGAACTCTTTGATAGATGTAAGGTAGCTTGAGTTAAAGGAGGGCATACATACATTTGATAACCTCCTGGTATAAAGGCGAACTCTTTTGATAGATGTAAGGTAGGCATACATACATTTGATAACCTCCTGGTATAAAGGCGAACTCTTTTGATAGATGTAAGGTAGCTTGAGTTAAAGGAGGGCATACATACATTTGATAACCTCCTGGTATAAAGGCGAACTCTTTTGATAGATGTAAGGTAGCTTGAGTTAAAGGAAGGCATACATACATTTGATAACCTCCTGGTATAAAGGCGAACTCTTTTTGATAGATGCATACATACATTTGATAACCTCCTGGTATAAAGGCGAACTCTTTTGATAGATGTAAGGTAGCTTGAGTTAAAGGAAGGCATACATACATTTGATAACCTCCTGGTATAAAGGCGAACTCTTTTGATAGATGTAAGGTAGCTTGAGTTAAAGGAAGGCATACATTTGATAACCTTGGTATAAGGCGAACTCTTTTGATAGATGTAAGGTAGCTTGAGTTAAAGGAAGGCTCCTGGTATAAAGGCGAACTCTTTTGATAGATGTGTGAGTTAAAGGAGGTAGCTTGAGTTAAAGGAAGGCATACATACATTTGATAACCTCCTGGTATAAAGGCGAACTCTTTTGATAGATGTAAGGTAGCTTGAGTTAAAGGAAGGCATACATACATTTGATAACCTCCTGGTATAAAGGCGAACTCTTTTGATAGATGTAAGGTAGCTTGAGTTAAAGGAAGGCATACATACATTTGATAACCTCTTGGTATAAAGGCGAACTCTTTTGATAGATGTTTGATAGATAATGGTAAGGTAGCTTGAGTTAAAGGAAGGCATACATACATTTGATAACCTCCTGGTATAAAGGCGAACTCTTTTGATAGATGTAAGGTAGCTTGAGTTAAAGGAAGGCATACATACATTTGATAACCTCCTGGTATAAAGGTGAACTCATTCGATAGATGTAAGGTAGCTTGAGTTAATGGAGGGCCTATATATATTTGATTGAGTGATGTAAGGGAGAAATGATTTGATACATGTAAGGTGACTTTAGTTAAAGGTATGTCTATAAATGTTTGATGAAGCAATTGGGCTGGGATACCGGAGAAGTCATGCTTGGAAGGGTGAGGCAAAAGAAACGACAATTTTATTGATACCTCCTTTGAATGAATGGTCCCTTTGGGAAGAGGAGTCTGCATGACGGCGATGAAACATCAATGGTCATGTGTTTACTCGCCTTGAAACAATCCAGTAGTATTGATCTTACGTGGAGACTAGACAAGAGCATATTAAATTTATTCAAATATTGTACTTTAGAATTCAGTACATCCAAGACTAGAATGTTCACGTGGGACTGCTGATTCAGGTATTCAACGTTTCATGGTTTGGTGATTCAACTGAATCCGCTGACTGAATGACGGTAGCTGTCTCTGTAGCATGCTTTTAATGATTTGTATGTCTTGACTTTAACGGTAATGTGTACATATGGCAACACCAACAGCATTTTGATGTCAGAAAGAAATGATTTCAGTATCATCACAACCTTCAACAAATATCTGCAGTGATTAAAAATAAGTTTTAAATTTAATATTTTCGTCCTAATTTGAAGCATTCAAAATAAAGAAGTCGAATTTTAGCTACATTGTTCTGTGGATTGTAATTGTAGATCACCATCTGTATTAGATATTTGTATTTCTATGTGGCAAATGGAACAACACCAATATCCCAACTATCAGTCACATGACATGAGTGAGTGAGTGAGTATGGTTTTAAGCCGCTTTTAGCAATATTCCAGCAATATCACGGCGGGGGACAACG